AGAGGAGTTTATTAATTTCTCAGGAAATAAGGAGGATGGAGACTCCAGTCTAAAATGTCATTGTCCTAATACTAATTAGAAATACAGTTTTTTTTTTTTTTTTTTTGAGGAGAAGGAAAGAGGAGTTTATTAATTTGCTGGCAATTGAGGAGGTTGGCATACTCCTATCTCAAAGTACCAACATCCTGCCTTTTTGGGTTTCTTACCAATAGAAATTTATGCTCCTGAATTTATGTCCTGAGAGAAGAATATACTTGTTGGGGGCTTACGTAAAAAAATGAAGCTTTTTAGAAGCCTAAGCATTCAAAACAAATACCAGATAGATTAGGTTTCGCTTTACTCATTTTCTAATCTAAACCATTTAAAAACAACTTTTCATGTGTCTAGATTATGAATAATACGTTATATTTTATAGCCTGACAGCTTTCTAAGTACTCTGATTGATTTTCTGTTGACATCATCAATCCTCACTAGGCTAGTATATAGAAAATCCTTAAATTCACTCCACATTTCAGATATGCCAGTAAATAGGGGAGATTAAAGTATATTTTACACCTCTTGATTAGAAACAATAATTACTTGCTTAATGATAGTTTATGTCATTGGCCCTGAAAAAAGAAAAAATACCTATTAATATAATGGGTTATAATAAATCATACAGGTATAAAATTATTTTGTGATGGATATTATGAAAGCTTTTATTCGGTTGAAATTTTTGGCCAATGTCATGTTCAGAGCTTTTTGTAGTGAGTATAATATCACAAACCTGTCAAGAATTTGTTCTGTATAAACTGAAAAACAGATCTTCATGGGACTACAGGTGGAGCATACCAAATCTGAAAATCCAAAATGCTCCGAAATCTGAAACTTTCTGAGTACAGACATGATGTTCAAAGGAAATACTCCTTGGAGCATTTTGGATTTTGGATTTTTAGATTAGGGAAGCTCAACTAGTAAATGTGATGCAAATATTTCCAAAATCTGAAAAAATCTGAAATCCCAAACACTTCTGGTGCTAAGCATTTCAGATAAGGGTACTCAATCTGTATCTATTTTCTAGGGGAAACACAAACGGTAGGATTCTTCTTTTATTTTGAAATTTAGTCCATGTGAGGATTCATTCTTTTGAAAGAATTTTTAGAGACATGAGGATATATTGAAGATTGACGATTGGGAACACCTTCAAGAAATGTTCAGACCATATAATAGGAGGCTGGGGGTCAGGCTGTGGAGCCAGAAGATAATTATTTTTTCCTTAGCTGTTACTTTTTGCTCTGTTTTCTTTCTTCTTCTTTTTGTAATCCACCACTAAGATTAATAATGTTCTGTTTTGTTAATTGAGGTATATCTTCGTTTGAGGCTCCCTCATTAGACCCTAATCTGTTTTGGTAATCAGGTCAATCTCTGTGTAAAATATTTTTACTTAGCATTTTCATTCCTTTCTCTAGCAAATACTAGCTGTGGGCTGCCTCTGAAAATGCTACGGAAGACGCCTATATATACCTGTGGCACGTACTTGGTGATGCTGGTGCCACCTCCAGGGGGATCAGGCAGTTCTGCCACCCGCTCTCTCTTCGGTGGAACAAGTGGTTTGTCATCTTTAAAAAGTAAGTGAATTTTACTTGTGGCACTATTCCCAATTTATCTCAAACTCTGAAATTTAAGGCTTTCCTGTTAATTATTTTAAACTTACTTTGTTAAATAGTTGTTTGCAATAGCTCTCTGATAACAACAAAAATAATTATCAATAGTTATAGGATAGGAGGATTTAAAAATATAATTTTTTGTAGTTACATAATGTATACTTTTGAAAACTATCATCCTGTAAAATTACTAGACATAATAGTTCAGCAAAGTTTTAGGGAATAAAATGATCTTTTGCCACATTATTTACTGATGACATAGCAAGAGCTCTACTTACTATGATAGAATTCCAAAGCTATTAAAATAAGTATGTAAAACACCTCCATTTTAGGACACACAAAATGTTAAGCAAACAAAGTAGAAAAGAAAATAAGTGTAAAAATTTATTACCATTTTTAAATGTACGTATATTTTTATAAAGGGGCACCCTATAGTAATTAAAGCAATGGGATTGTGGCTTCAGAGTGGATACATAATTAAGTGGATGGAAGTTAAGTTAAATGGAATAAAACACAGAACCAAAAAAAGTTCCTTTTCTATTACCATTTTCTAACTTTATTACCTTAGGGACATCATTTAACCCCTCTCAGACTCAATTTCCCCAATTGTAGAAAATAAAAGGATAATAGCATCTCACATCATTGTGAGATTGCATGTGATGATTACATGCTATAAAATATGTTAGAAAATTTCTAAAATACACAAAACAAAACAAAATGTTCCTTTTGTATATGGTAACAATTGTTTTTTTGCATTCTTTTTTTTCTTGAAATTTGTTTAGGCACATAAAACTAAAATGTTTTAGAATCAGTTTACTTATTTTATTTATTTTTTTTTTGAGACAGAGTCTCACTCTGTTGCCCGGGCTAGAGTGCCGTGGTATCAGCCTAGCTCACAACAACCTCAAACTCCTGGGCTCAAACGATCCTCCTGCCTCAGCCTCCCAAGTAGCTGGGACTACAGGCATGCGCCACCATGCCTGGATAATTTTTTCTGTATATTTTTAGCTGTCCAATTAATTTCTTTCTATTTTTGGTAGAGACAGGGTCTCGCTCTTGCTCAGGCTGGTCTCAAACTCCTGACCTTGAGCGATCCACCCGCCTTGGCCTCCCAGAGTGCTAGGATTACAGGCGTGAGCCACTTCGCCTGGCCAAGTTTACTTATTTTCATTTCCCAGTTTTTTATATTCTGTCTTCTTAAAATGATTTTCTTACAGTAATTCCATTAAAGGGTTTTATTTCATATTTAGATTTTTAAAAAGCATTTCTTATTCTAATGAAAGCCTACAGATATAAATTTGATTTCAGCAGTCTAAACAAAATCATTTATACAATATCAGCTTAATCTTTAGGCCATATCAAGTAGTTGCATGTGCTCAGAATTTACATATTCATAACAACTCCAAACTCGTTTGCCTTTAAAATCAAATTGGTTAGACTATTTCTCAACAGCTTGTTTTCTTTAACAGTGCGTGTGACCAGAATGTACCCTTTAGTCCCTGGGGTAGAGTAAATCATGCAAATTTACTATTAGTCTTTTTTAAAAATTTTAAAAGTATATTGAGATATAACTCACATATCATAAAATTCACCCCTTTAAATACAATTCAGGCTGGGTGCAGTGGCTTAGTCCTGTAATCACAGTCCTTTGGGAAGCAGAAGTGGGAGGATCGCTGAGCCCAGGAGTTTGAGGTTGCCTTGAGCTGTGATTGTATCACTGCACTCCAGCCAGAGTGACAGTGAGTCTGTCTCTAAAAAACAGTATACAATTCAGTGGTTTTTAGTATGTTCATAGAGTTCTGTGAGATCCCAGACCCATTAGCGTTTGCTCTTCCTACTCCGTAACCCCTGGCATCCACCAGTCTACTTTCTGTTCTATGGATTTACCTGTTCTGGACTTTTTATATAAATGGTATTATACACAATATGGCCTTTCATGACTAGCTTCTTTTAGTTAACATAATGTTTTCAAGGTTAATGCCATGCTATAGCATGAATCAGTACTTCATTCCTTTTAATAGTTGAATCACATTTCATTATATGAATGATACCCTATTTTGTTTATCCATTCATCAGTTGATGGATGTTTGAGCTGTTTCTACTTTTTGCTATTTTGAATAATGATGCTATAAACATTAGTATATAGGTTTTTGTGTTGACATTTTTTCATTTCTCTTGGATATACATATCAGAGTAGAATTGCTGGGTCATATGGAAACTGGATGTTTACCCTTTGGAAGAACTGCCAAACTGTTTTCCAAAGTAGCTGTATCATTTTATATTCTCCTCACCAGTGCATAATGGTTCCAGTTTTCCAGATCCTCACCAACATTTGTTATTCCATTTTTTTGATTATAGCCATCCTTATGGATATGAAGTGGTAGTACCTCATTGTGGCTTTGATTTGCATTTCCTGAATGACTAATGATGCTGAACATCTTTTTATGTGCTTATTGGCCATTTGTATATCTTCTTGGAGGAATATCCATTCAAATCTTTTGTCCATTTTTAAATTGGGTTGTCTTTTTATTGACCGTTAGTCTTATTAAACTTTTTTTTGGTCTCCTTGGCATGGCATTTTTGCTGAATTGAGATTGACCCCATTTGATTAAAGCAGGTCTTCATGGTGTCACTCTTTCATGAGGATATAGCTTACACAGTGATTCTATTTTAGCCCAGCAAATCAGTAAATGCTTAAATTCTTTCTGTGTCCTGTTCCACATTGGTCACTGTGGGGGCTACTCAGGAAGTGGAAGAATTGGTACTTGCCTTTAGGAGCTCGTAGTCTGGTTGGGAGAAATGATGAAGATGTATGAGATGAGAAATGACAGATGATGCTATATCCCTGCTGGGACCACGTGGAACAGATGCGCGTGCTGTGGAATCCAAGAGAGGCTCATTGTGGAGTAGAGTAGAAAGGAGATTTCATGAGGTCTTAGAGTTTAAGCTGTGAAAAATGGATATTATTTATATAAGTTGCCAAGTAGGGGAAAGGCATATGTATGGTAAGCACCATGAAAAAGATATTTTGAGAAGATCATTTTGTTGGTGTTCAGGATGGAACAGTAGAAAATAGAGAAAAGAAAGAGTATAGTTTAGGTCATAACTCGAGGCAGGCGTGATGAGGATCTGGACTACTGGGGTGGTGGGAATAAGAAAAAGAAAAACTCAAGAGACACAGCGTGGTGTTACACATTTTGGAGCTGTATAATTTCCTTCTTTAATTTGTTAAAATTTTGTATTAAAAATTGTCAACAGTAATTTTTTTTTCTTTTTTTTTGAGACAGAGCCTTGCTCTGTCTCCCTGGCTAGAGTATAGTGGCATCATCATAGCTCACTTCAACCTCAAACTCCTGGGCTCAAATGATCCTCCTGCCTCAGCCTCCAGAGTAGCTGGGACTACAGGTGTACTCCACTGCACCTGGCTAATTTTTCTATTTTTAGTAGAGACGGGTTCGAGCTCTTGTTCAGGCTGGTCTCGAACTCCTGAGCTCAAGCCATCCTCCCACCTCGGCCTCCCAGAGTGCTAGGATTATAGGCATGAGCCACCACACCTGTAATACTGTAAAGTATTTCATATAAACGTTGTTATCTTGTGGTGCTAATAATCATAACTCTTCTTGCAGATACCCTTTTGGTGATCAGTATAGAAAAAAACCTTCATGCAAAAGTTGCCATTTTAGAAACACTCTCAAAAATGTGGTTCAGTATTAAATTTAGGAAGATATTTTGGTGACAATTTTCTTTCTGTGGTCTTATGCAAGTATTCTCCATCTCCTCATTGTTACTACCACCAACAACACAACAACAAAAAAACAAACAAACAAAAAACAACAGAAAAGGGTGCGATTTTTATAAAAATCTTATTGAAAGCCTAAAATTTAAACTTTGAAAAATAATCTTCAGGCTCATTTAAACAGCTTAATGTTTGTTTCTTAAGTCCTAGCCTCTAGCTTGGTGTATAATATTTCGGATGGTCAGTTTACAAGTCGTGCGGATCTCATAGATGCTGCAGGAAGCTCACTGGGGCGTGGTGCTCTCGTGCCAGGATTGGGTAAGAAATAAATGCACACATTTCCTTGGAAAATTTAAAGTTTTAGCAACTTTCTCTTGAAAAATCTTTCCAATTCCCTGTGGCATTCTAGTTCCTTGAAAAGAAAGAATTTTAATAGTATTCTTTGATTTGGGGAATCAATACAAGAAATTGCCATATGTAAAATTCTTCTAAATAAATTGCTGTTGAAGATACTGTCCATTAGGTTGTGTGATGATGCTTATAACAAATTCTCAAAGTTCATGCCATATAAAGGTTGATTTCCTGTGAGGAATTGGTATAGTAGTTAGAAAATGAACATTATGTAGCATATTGGATTTTTCTCTTTGCCCTGGCTGCTAGGAAGCTTGTATCAAAGTTTGGGCTCAGTTACTAGGGCTTTTTATTGTGTGTTAATGTGAACTGGTCCTATTGTACCTGGGTTTTTAATGTAAGCCACTTAAATCCTTTTTGCAAGTAGGTCATGTATAAATCAGTTACTAAGACATACCTATTTTGTGAGATTTATTCCTTCTCATGTAGGAGTTAAGCAAAATTAAAAATGAAATCCTGGCTTCTTGCTGAGTCTCAACCTAGTGCTTTGCCAAGTAAATCTACGGGAGTAGGGATGGTGGCTTGTCAACATCAGAGGAGTGCTTGCCCCTCCGCCTTTTAGCAGTGCGTTCAAGAACTACATATACAGGCAGGTGGTAACAGACAGTTGAATAAAGTGTGCTCTTTCTGCAGGTGCCTGTTATGATACCGTGAACAACATGCTGTGGACGTGCTCGAATGACTATATCGATCAGTGGTGTAACCCCGGGAACCAGGCCTTCCATTATGTCTGCCAGAGACTGGGAGTCAGCCACATTATCACTGAGCCCAAAGGTGAGGTGCCATCATGGCCTGGCAGGAAGACTTTCCCCCCTGAAATATGAGAGAACACAGCAGCATAGTAGGTGCGAACACAGCCAACACCAGAAAGTGTCACCAGCCTTCCCTCTTTGAACTTAGAAACCCAAAATCCTTTGTTATCTATCACCCTGAAAGATTGATTCATGATTACATAAATACGTAAATAAATAGAGCTTTGGAGGTGGCCCATAGACTTTTGTAAAGGAAAATTGTTATGTCCCTGCTGAAATGGTCAGAACTTCGGTGTAAAAATTGATTATTTGTATTCAGCATGGCATTATATGCTGTTACACAGTTTTACATTGATAATGACTTATTTGTATATTAGCTTATAATTAGAAGAATTACCAGTGAAGGGCCTTTGTATTTCTTAATATTAGTATGAACATTCTTAATATGAAGTTAATATTAAATTAATTAAAATCTTGTCTTTAGAGTCAATTATGTTGGTGTGGAGTAGTGAATCACTCAGCAAGTCCTCTCCCCATAAAGCAATACTAAAACAGACAAAATTAACAAAAACAATTATTTGCAGGCTCGGGAAATTGGCCAAAGGCTTACACCAAATTGAGAATGGTTATTACTAAAAACAACACTGAACTTTGGGGAAGAAGTGGAAGTCGGTGGTGTGCCCAGCTGGGGCTGTGCCTATCCCCTGCTCCACGCTTGGTTAGCATAGTAGTTTTCCCAGGGTGGGGCAGACTGTGAAAAGCAGCATCTTTGCTGCCAGAAGAGACTGACTTGATTGGGAACAGAGCATGGAAAGACCTCATGCCCAACAGCACTGTCCGTTACAGTGGTTATCTTGGTGGCAAACACATGGAGCAGACCTGTGGTTTAGCTGGCCTGAGACGTGGCCCCTGGTAGGGCAAGCAATGGACCAGCAGACTAGCTAGAAGTTTAATGGTAAGATCTGAATAGTGAGAAAGCTCTAGGCAACCTTGATAAGCTCTCCACACACCTACACAGAAGAGGCCTGTTCACACATCTCTGGCTACACATGCGCCTGTATACATATGCAAAGATGTGAGAGGGCCCAAACAGAAAGTAGAAACTAGGGCAGAGTGCAAAAGATTTGGGCTATCTTTGACTTTTTCTCTCACACCCCATATCCAAGTGGATATCAGCAAATCCTATCAGCTCCTACCTTCAAAATATATCCCAAATCCTACCATTTCCCACCAACCGTGCTGCTGCTGCTCTAGTCTGAGCCATCATTGTCTTCACCTGCATTGTTGTAGCAGCTCATGGATCTTTCTTCCCGACAGTTGCCACTGAGCAGCCAAGGAGTCTTTTGCAATCTCAGGATCGATCTATTACTCCTCCGCTTGGATATCTCCACTAGCTCCCCATCGAATGCAAAAATGACACTCTCCTTTGTTTCAGTAGGTCCCAAAGCTGGTTTTCAAAAAGTCTTTGGTCAAGATGAATAGTACTCACCTGAATTCCCCTGTGATAAGGCTAAAGACCCACCAGGCACAGAAGAGAGTGGGACCCAGTCTGGCCGGGGTGGGGGGTGGGTGGGTTAATACACAATCAAAAAGTTTCATTTTGGCCAAGTGTACCTTCTCTTCAGTTCTCCTGGAGTCCTGTCCCCATAGTTCCCAGTGTCCACAATCCTTTTGTAGCTCTAAGGTCCCCCGCCCAGGCCTGCTTCTACAAGATAACCTATTTTCCCATTTCTTTTAGGCAGTTCATTTCAGCTGGTTTTAAGGAAAAAAAGCAATCTTTTTATACTTTGCCTATTTAGATTTTTTTCACCTCCATTCCCTTACTACCTGTAACCACTCATGAAATATGTATTGTTATTTAAGAGGATGCTTGTCAACCATCACAGGTTTAATTGATGGATGTCTAGGCTGTGATGACTAAATGAGATTAAAATGTTGAGATACTGTGGGAAGAGATATTTATGGACAGGGGGATTCTACCATGGAGCAGCCATAGAAGATGGAGAGATTTTACTAGAATGGTTACCAGCATGAGCTATGGGCTGAGATTGCCTGAATTCAAATCCCAGCTCTACTACTTCTTAGCTGCGTGCCCCAGGGCAAGTTATTTAACCCCTCTGACACTCTTGGTTTATTGCCTTACAGAGCAGGTTTAGAACCACGTTGTAGAGTAATGCCTTTAAAGCCTCAAAAGCATTTAGCCCATTGTTCAGCATGTAGAAAGAGTTCAGTAAGTGGTAGCCACTTCTGTTCTAAACGTATGAACTCCCCAGGCTTTCACCTATGGCAGGGAGATGGGTTCTTCAGCAGCAGTGAAAGAGATTGTAGCCAAGATATTCTCTCCTAGCGTGTGTGCACCTGTTGTAAGTCAGATGTCAGTTCCTCCAGGACCACCCATAGAGACGTCTTTCCTCACTGAGTTTCCTTTTCATCTTCTAGAAGAGGCTATAACCACGAATGAGGTTATAAACCAATTATTGCACCACGTTGGTGCGATGTGCATACACCAACTCAATCTTCTTGCTACCAACCCCAATCTTCCAATCACAAGTGTCTTGGGCAAGCAGCATCCGATTGAAGCACACCATCTTAGCAGTATTTGTGACATTATGGAGAAGGCCATGGTTAACGGAGATACCTGTATTATACGCTGCATTCTCGTTGTCTTTCAGGTAAGTACACTGTTTTGAGATAAATAAGATGAGAGAGAAAAAGAAACACAAACCTTGGCTTTGGCCTGCTAATTTTTACAAAAAAAGTTTAATGACACTCCTGTTTTGCATCTTACCACCTTCTAATCCTGTAATTAGTATCATCATATTCATTGCACTGCAGATAATGGAATATTACTATATGTAGTTCATTGCAATTAATATATGCAAAATATTTACTATAATTATACCATTATACAATAGAAGAGATTGTGGTTAAAAAATCCACCTGGTTATTTGTCCACTGAATATCTACCATGTACTTTTTTCATAGGGATAATTTTACCCCAGTAGAATTAGAATTTTCAGATATACTCCTTATGTTTCTGTAGGTGGTGTTTAAATTTTTCTTCAGCCCACAAACTGAAAGGAATCGAGACATCATTCGACGGTCAGGATTGCTTCTTTGGCAGTTGTTGATGGCACCAAAAGATCAAATTTGCCCTGAAATTCAGAAGGAAGTCTGCCTTGCCATCAGGTAAGCAGCAAATGATTTTGGTAGTGCTGTCTGCAAAGTGATTCTCCTACAAAGCGTGGGAATCTTTCCTGCAAGCTGGTAGCATAGATGTCTTTCACCGCATCCTACAGTCCTCATGCACTGGGCATAATTTAACTGGAGTGGGCTTTGGAGCCCCACCCTCAGAGGACCAAAGCCAACCGTGTACCTACATTTCCTCATCTCACCTTTTGGATCTTAAAAAACAAAAAACAAAACCCTCTTAAGGGGATATTTTGATCGTTCGCAAGCTGATATCCTCATTTGGGAGAGAGTGTGGCAGGTTGGTTAAGAACCAGGTTTTGGTAATAGGCAGATCTGAATTCTAGTCTTTGCCACTTACTAGCCATCACCTTGGCGTGAGGCTTTCATTTCCTCAGCTGTAAGAAGGGTGTAAAAATAGCACCTGTGTCATGGGTTTGCGAGGTTTGCCTAAGGTAAGGCCTGATACAGAGTGTTCAACAACGTTCGCCTTTATCAATCTGCTAAAACCTTCTTAGACACGAGGCCATTTTCAATTTATTATCAGTTTTTTTTTAGTTCAGTGAACTTTTATCCAGGAATATAGCCTTAATGTGACCAAGTATAATTTAGTGACCAAGAGAGAACTGAGTGGTTAGTCTGAAAGAACAATATGACGGGGGTGAGCATAGATGACACAGAATTATTTTTCCTTCCACAATAGAGTATGCCTTGGATCTCTTTCTATTGAGCATTAAGGTAATGATTAAAATCTGGTGCCGTGAGGCAACTTCTAGGGGCATGGGTGTAGTCACTATCTTGATTGTGATGATGGTTTCATAGGTATATACATGTGTCGGACTTATCAAATTGTGTAAGTTAAATATGTGCACTTTATTGTATGTCAAACCTCAATAAAAAATAAAAGAAAAAAATTCTGATACTCTTTTCAGTACTATTCTCCCTGCCCTTTTGGTAAAGCTGAGAATTAGAAATTCTTTCTCTCGAGTGAATTTGGGGGGGCACAATCTGTTTATATATAGGCTTGGCAACGTTGACTTTTTTCGTAACTTACCAGTTCTCTTTAACCAGTTCTGCATGTAGCCCCAAATAAGTTATCACTCTGGTAATCCCTAAGACGAGGAGGAGCGGGATGCCGTTTACCATGGAAGTGGTTGGACTGGATCATGACAGTGAATTTAGGTTCAAATGCCTTTTTAGTGATAAAACTTACTTCAGAGTTTTATGTAATCAAACTGGCATCTTTAATAAAAATAAAATTTAAATATTTAGAGTTTGGATTTTCTAGAACATTGGCTTAAAAACTTTTTGACTTTTCTGTCATTTCAGCTCTGGTTTAAATATCTTGTACCCAGGTGAAACTGAAATCAATAACTTGCTTAAGTTGGTCTTAACAGAAGGTGAGAGTTATCCTTTAATTATCTTTGAACAACCATCCTTTTTTGTCCCTAAGGAAACAGCTGGTTATTAAGATAATTGATACTTTTTTCTTCATATCTGTTAGCATATTCTTAAAATATATCTACATATATGCCAACATTTAAATCAGATTGAAAGCAGAAACTATGGGTTTTATGTATCTTTAAGCTTTATAAACCTCTGTCTCCACTGCTTACCATAATGTGTGGGACTACAGATGTTTAACAAATGTTTTAAAATAATGATTTCTTGGTGATTTCTAAGCCAGTTTTTTTCACACATTAGAGCCTAACTTTTGAAATTAGACTAAACAACAACAAAAGGTACTGTATTAAAGACAGTCTGCATTTAAAAGCAACGTTAAGTTAAGGATTTGGAAGTCACACTTTATATCAAGAAGGTAATTACACTTTGATCAGGATTTGGGTTAAAAAGTCTGATTGGTTATAAAGTAGTTTTTGCTGCTGCCATTTATGTAAGTCCAGGTCCGTATGCCTGCCCCTAGATTGTCAACAATCTACTAGATTAAAAACTTTTTTGGCTGGGCATGGAGGCTCATGCCTTTAATTACAACACTTTGGGAGATCAAGGCAGGAAGATCGCTTGAGGCCAAGAGTTCAAGACCAGCCTGGACAAAACAGTGAGACCCCCATCTCTTAAAAAAAAATAAGAAGAAAAATTAGCCTGGCATGGTCGCACACACCTGTAGTCCCAGCTACTCGGGACGCTGAGGCAGGAGAATTGTGCGAGCACAGGAGTTCGAGACTGCAGTGAGCTATGATTGGGCTCTCCATTCCAACCTGGGTGACAGAGCAAGACCCTGTCTCTAAAAAAAAAAAAAAAAAAAAACACAAACAAAAATAGCATCAATTTTCTTTCTTTCTTTCCTTTTTTTTTTTTTGAGACAGAATCTCACTCTGTTGCCCCTGGTAGAATGTAGTGGCATCATCGTAGCTCACTGCAACCCCGAACTCCTGGGCTCAAGTGATCCTCATACCTTAGCCTCCTGAGTAGCTGGGACTACAGGTGCACGCCATAACACCCGGCTAATTTTTTCTATTTTTAGTCTCGCTTTTGCTCAAGCTGGTCCTGAACTCCTCAGCTCAAATAATCCGCCGCCTCGGCCTCCCAGAGAGCTAGGATTACAGGCATGAGCCACCGCGCCCGGCCAGCATCGGTTTTCTAAGTGCCTTATCTGGGTAGTTTATGGAGCTTTGTTCTGTGTTAGGAGAGAGAAACAGCGGACTCTCACAGCTGCGGGATGTGATCCTAACCAACTTAGCTGAACAGCTTCAAAACAACCGATTTGGCAGTGATGAAGATGATCATTACAGGTGACACTAGTTATATTATTCACTTCTAGCCTTTTCTTTATATTTTTCTAAGTCATTAATTTCCATTTAGATCTGTTTCATCAACTTCAGTATCCTATTATAGCTAATATGGTCATTAGCATGCTAAACTAAAGCATGGACCAATTGAAAGATAATAAATTCCACAGTTGCCCTTAGAACTGATAATAGCACGTTTCAGTTTTATCACTAGAGTAACCTGGGTCTGGGGAAAGGGTCCTTAGCAGAAATAAGCGATGGAACTTATTTAAGAGATCTTGACTCAGGTGTGGTCCACATTGCTCGTCTGCAAGAGAAGCCGAGCGTGCGTGTTAGAGCTGGTGAGGGTGAGGAAGGTGTTGGTTTTCTATGTTATTTATAAAATACTTTGGCTAGGTGGTTGGGTGTCATTTGGTTTCTGTAAGTTTGATTTAGATAATATACCTAGTTGTTAACATCACTCCTAAGATGATCTGCTTGCAGAACCAATTAATTTTGTATCTTCTGTTTGTCATCTCATACCAACTGTATAAACTTTATCCTTTTGTGAATAAACCATCGATATTTTATTGTTACATTTTTCCTGCATTTTAAAGACTAAATGATGAACTTTTACACTACATTCTGAAGATTGTCGTACGAGAATCCTGCATCTTAATCACCAAGTGCCAAACTGTCTCTAAAGATGATTTTCAAAAGCTCCTTTCAACTGTGCCTGTAAGTAAAAATGTGTTTAATGCAAGCAAAATTATATCAAGCGTCCCTGTTTTCATTTTCCTATATTGAGAGGTGTGTTATACACACATACGTACATGCTCACTTTACAAAGACAGACTTAAAATAATTTATGAAAGTCAATGTATAACAGCTTATCCTAGAAATGTAGAACTAGACAAATCCACTTGAAATACCTTTTCCAGAGACTTATGCCTCTTGCTTAAATTGCTTGATGTAATAAATGTTCCAAATTTGAGTGTTTTTGTTTTATCTAGTGAGGGTTTTTTCGCCCATGTTAATTTTTAATTTAGCATTGTTTTCCAAATCGTCAGTGTTTTACGGAGAATGATAGGAACTAAAAGATTCTTTTAAGGACTTAGGTGTCTTCTGTAATGGAGATGCATGTGAGAGGGAGGGGGAAAGAAGAAGCATTAAGAGGCAGAAAGTCAAGTAAGTATTCTGAGTGATGAGTGAGGATTGCGTAGCAGAAGGCAGAAAGTTATAGCAAATGTGTCAAAGTATGCATTGAAAGCCACATGGAAATAAGTCACCTGAGAAACTAACTTGGTCTGTTTTCTGTACTTTCTCTTTTTGTTTTCTTTGTCAAAATCTTTTGAAAACATGAGGATTACATGCTCGCTCTTTCAGTAGGTTTAGATCATTTAAATGCCCTTATTTGTATTAAAGGCTGCATCCTCCTGCCTGCGCTATCTGATGGCAGTTCAGAATCACCTTCTCAGTAACACTATTTTGATTAAACCTGATGAGAATGATGACAGTGACAACTCCTTGCAGGGAGAGACATTGAAGGTACAGGTAAACACCAAGCTTTATTTTAACGATGCTTTCTATCCAGTGTGTAAAGCAGCTTAATTGGCTAAATTTCTGTGTATTATGATGTCAGAATTCACCTGTGACTTATATTCTTGTGAGAGGTAACATTAGGCCACTCATTCTATAGATTTTTATGTTATTGCACAGTGGTCACCATATTTGTGACACTCTCATAATGTGTCATCCATGTGCACCTGTCAATCTTTTTGTGCCTTTGTTTATTTCCATCTTCTTTTAAGAACTGTAAAATATGGCACTTACAAGTGATCTCGTATGCACCTGAAAGTTTTATATATATGAACACACTTATATATCTATGAATACAGCTGGGAGCATAGCATTTTAAACAATTTTGACATTTTGGATGATTTATTATATTCTCTTGATTCTAATAACTTTAAAAAGGTGATAATTTTCTCTCAATCTTCATATTGAATAATTTAATTTCTAAACCTATAGTTCATTTCATTTTCTGTAATTATTTCTAAGTTAGCTTCTGTGTAAACTCAATAATTTGTTCCCACATGATAATTTATAGCAGTCCAAAGATTTTTTATAGCTGTGGTTGTTATAATTTTGACAGATGCTCACAAGGCTGTTGTTTGTATTGTTCTTCAGAATTTAATCTTTGTGGGAGAATTTGAGAAATCACTAAGAACTTTATTTTTCCTTAAAATGTTGACTTAAACACACTGAAAAATTAACCAAGGAAGCCATAAAAGCTATTACAGTTTGCTCTTTTCTTACTCCTTTGTGTACATATATGATTAAATCATTTTATAGTTCATATTTGTGAGTTTACCTCATTACATAATTAGTTTTTAAACAGGAAGATGTGCATGTACTTTTAATTTAAATTGTTGATCCTGTTTATCTAACTTCTCTTACCTTAGGTGAGGATATCAGTAAAGAGGGACAATAACATCTTCCTTATAATATAGGTTGCTGTGAGGATTAGCGACAAGCCCTGCAAAACCTGGCACTTTGCTGCCATGTGGTGCGGGGTCAGTAGGTGATCACTCATGTCATTAGGATGACTCTTAAACCGTGATTCAGCTTGTCTAGTCAATTCAGAGTTCCTTTTCTCTTAATGATAGAAAATATTAATATCTTAATAATACTAAAAAAGCAGAAAAGTCCAACAATGAAAAGCAGTTTTTTTCTATTTGAAGGTTAAACATTATAAATTCTGAAACCCTGGAGAGAAATATAAAGACTCTTAATAAAGGTTTAGTTGTCTAGGGTCTGGGGAAAAAATTAAAAACACATAGGTGTCGTTAGCTTGGTTGTATTTTTTTTAATAAAAGATAATTGTAAACTAAACATTTCTATGATGTTAACTAGTGTTTCTTAACACATTATTTAGTATTTGTACTCCCATGAACTCTCTGACAGTTATTTTTATTGCTTAATAGCCTATAACTGCCTGCTACTTTAATTGATTTTTTTTTTTTTGCTTGCCTGATTGTAAGTGTAATGGGTTTAAGACATTAAGTAAAAGGTCACTTGTACTGTTTCAGAATGTTGTGTTTCTGTCTCATTTTATTCACCGCCTATACATGCACCTTTTACTGTTCTGTTTTTCTCTTTAGCTATCCTCATACCACCCAAGGCAATCTTCCACCTGGACAGTTTCTGGGCTGGCCACCAAGAGCTCTCTTGTGCTGGATGGGATGGGAGCTAGGCCTTTTCTCCTAGGGACTCAGTGTGCTCCCTGTGAAATGCTGCATATTTCTGTCAGCACCCAGACTTTGGCCTCCCAAGTCAAATTGCTACTTGCCATCCTAGCAGAATTTACTGCTTTGGGCTTATTCTGGCCACCTCATTATTTCATTTGGAAATGCATCATTAAATATACCATTTCATGTTGTCATTGTGAGTGTATGTTCATCACAAAGCTTAAAAATAATATTATGCTATTTTCTACCTAGGAGCTAAAAGTCAGTATTTTGGCTCTTGCCACCCAAATCCTGACTGGATGTGATGAAGTGTTGGAAATGCTACAGCAGGTCACAACTGCCCTCATAAATAGTGACATAGCAGACCGTGAACAGAGGTGAGGAAATGGATTGTGGACCATGACCTGCTGTCCTTCAGGAAGAAAAATTTGCTTATGAAAGTGAGATCTCATTAGAGCAGAACATAGAGGGATTAATTTAATATATAGGGATTTTTGTGAGAATCGGTCGAAATGGCAAATGTTTCAAAGCCAAGTGCAATCGAACTCTTCAATGTGCTTTTAGGTGAGATTGGGCCAACAGCCATCAAGATTTGGAGGACAGCCTCCGCTCTGACATGTGGGACTTCTACTGCCACCCCTCCCAAACTGGCCTTCCCTTTAATTCTTGAGCTTAGCACCACATGTACTTAGTTTCCTTGTGATAAATACTTTCAAGGAGGAAGAAGTGACTTAGTGATACAGTCAGTCAACTGCTACACAAACGATGACACTGGCATGTTATCTCAAGATTTTACTGTAATTTTACTCCTCCAAATACATGAGTGACCTACATAGAGGGTAAACTTCTCTTTCATAGTAATAAAGCCCTTTTGCAGCCCTTCACGTTGAAATTTCTGCTGTGGTTTGCTTTTAGAGATGAGTTGCACGCTGTTTTTTTGACGATTTGAACGTTAGAGATGTTGATCTGAAACAATCCTGCAGTGTAATTTTTGCTTCAGTAACACTGTTTTCATGGCCTTGGTTCTTGCCCACTCCCAGAGAGTAGATGAGAGGCTGGGATTGAGAACAATATAATCCAGACAGGCACAGCACTGGGGCTTAGTGAGACATGGTACAGTCCAGTGGGATAGCCTGGGAGACGTGATGTCTGTTTCTGATTCCAACTCCAGTGTCCTAAGGAGCCTAGGGAATTTGCATAACCCATTTCTTTCTGCATACCTTAATGCTTCTAGCAGAGGACAGGGATATTAAGAATGTGATTTTAAAGACAAATTGAAAATTTACCTGCTTAGATTAGTCAAAATCATAGAGACAGAAAGTAGAAGGGTGGTTACCAGGGGCTGAGGGAAAGTGGGGAATGGGCAGTTATTGCTTAATGGGTGTAGTTTTGGTTTTACAAGATGAAAAGAGTTACGGAGGTGGATGGTGGTGATGGTTGCACAACATTATTTAACACTGAAACATACACTTAATAATGGTTAAGGTGGGCCAGACACGTTGGCTCACACCAGTAATCCCAGCATCTTGGGATGCTGAGGCAGAAGGATTGCTTAAGGCCAGGAATTCAAGACCAGCCTAGGCAACATGGACCCTGTTTCTACAAAAAAAGAGAAAAATTAGCCAGGTGTGGTGGTGTGTACCTGTAGTCCCAGCTACTCAGGAGGCTGAGGCAAGAGGATTGCTTGAGCCCAGGAGTTTGAGGCTACAGTGAGATATGATGACACCTTTGCACTTCAACTTGGGGAACAGAGCGAGACCATATCTCTAAAATAAAAAGACAAAAAGAAAAAGATGTTAGGCCTTATGTGGTGGCTCATGTCTGTAATCCTAGCACTCTAGAAAGCCAAGGTGGGAGGATCGCTTGAGCTCAGGAGTTCGAGACAGCCTGAGAAAAAGCAAGAAATTTTCTATTTCTACTAAAATAGAAAAAATTACCCGGGCATGGTGGTATGAGCCTATAGTCCCAGCTACTCGGGAGGCTGAGGCAGGAGGATCGCTTGAGCCCAGGAGTTTGAGGTTGCTGTGAGCTAGGCTGAGGCCATGGCACTCTAGCCTGGGCAACAGAGTGAGACTCTGTCTCAACAACAACAAAAAAAGTTAAGATGGTAAATTGTATGTTACGTTTATTTTAATACCATAAAAAGAATTGGGGAAAAAAGCCTGTCAGCCTCTGTTTGTCCCAGATGAGCCTCAATTTCTCTGGGCCAGGAGTGGATTGCACAGCTACGGGAGGTGAATCAGGGTTGTAGCCATTTACTTCCTCCTCTTCAGAGTCAGTGCAGCACGGTGTCCATGGCCCCAGGGGCAAGGGAGCTTTGCAGTAGTGGCTACGTAGAGGAGCCACTGGCATTTTAGAACCCATTCGTAGAGTGCTTTGAAGGAGCTATAAAATGCCTTGTGTAAACCTTTTTTGGCAAAAGCGACATACTGAAGGTGAAATCCAGCAGGAGCTTTCTGTTCTTCCCTTCTCCCTCAGTGGTAGAAGGTGGGAAATTTGTGAACTGAATTGCTGTAACCGTAAGTGCTTAACTAGTTTAAGGAGATGCAGTTTAAGAGAATCTGTCCACTAAAGATGATGTTAGTTGCTGCTTCATGTGATTGGGCATTGCTTAGGCTGTGTGTTTTCTTGAACTTTTTGTAGGTTAAAAGGCTTGGAACAAGTTACTAAGGCTACTATGCTTGGTCACCTTCTTCCAGTGTTACTGACCTCCCTGATGCATCCAAATTTACAGACTTTGATCATGGCCGATGCCCTGATGCCTCAGCTAGTGCAGCTGGTACTCTATACCAGCCAGGTATGATCCTTGGTGTGCCAAAGCAAACTGCTTTCTGGCCAACCTACCTCACAGTGAGGCTGTTTGGCTTCACTGAAGGCAGAATAAACATAACCCTGTCTATCAGAAACCAAGGGAAATAATGATGGAATGAACAAAAATATCGTATCATAGAAATAAACTAGAATATTAAGGAAAAGCATTTTGTTTGACTAAATTACTTACTGCAGTCTTTTAGCAAGTGTTCATTGCTGATCAGCTGTAAAAATGCTAATATACAATGCTGCTAAAAACCTACCATTATGTTTCATCTCTGGAGTCCTTGCCAGCTAAAAGTAACTAATATACTTAATAAATGTGTTCCTTACTAAGAGATGCCCTAGGGAATGAATGAATGAATGATGAGTTCCAATCCAGCATTAAGTACAATAATGTTAAGTGGCATTTCTTAGTGAAGGAGGGCAGACCAGGATTGTAAAAAGGTGATGTAAGTGAAAATTGTAAGCTTGACTCTTGTACCATCCAGATAACTGACAGTAAGCACTTTAAAACATGATGATGGTTTTGTGTTTCAGACGGCTTTGCTGCTTAAAACCCAATGTCCAGTTTTTGCTGAGATGAGCTGTTCCCCATGTGGTGCATCAGACCAGAAGTGCAGGCTGTTCCCCGATGAGAGGTATCGGATGCTGCTGCTTGCAGGAACCCTTTTCTTGTCTTCCGGTGAAAGCCTAGTACTCCTTTTACAAGAGCAATTTTTAGCAAGGATTCTCTAACTGGGAAAAGAAAAAAATTTCAGGATCAAAATTTTCGATGACTATAGTATTGCTTTGGAGATTTATAGGAACTCGTTAGAATAAATTTCCCCATGGATCAAGAGATTAATTCAAAACTGACCTGAAATTCTCATACACTAATGGTGGCTATGTAAAATATTATGACTTTGGCAAGCAGTCGGGCAGTTCCTTAAAAAGTTAAGCATACACCTACTATAGGACCCAGCTATTCCACTTTTAAGTTAAATACTTAAAAGTATTTTAAGGTAAGAGAAAAGAAAGCATGGGTTCTTACAAAGACTTGTATGTTAAGGTTCATAACAGCTTTAGGTAGAATAGCCCAAAACTGAAAACAATCCAAACGTCCATCAGCAGGTGAATGGAGAAACAAATTGTTGTGTATCCAAATGTGAACTTCTAATCCGCAATAAAAAGGAATGAACCATTGTTACATGCAACAACATGGGTGAATGTTAAAATACTTATACCGATTGAAAGAAACCAGGTCCCTTTAGGTCACATACTATATGATTCCATTTATATAAAACTCTAGAGATCACTTCTCAGCCTTTTGGCTAAGATCAGATGTAAAACTGTAGAAAATGCAAACTAATCTCTAGTGATAGACAGCAAATAAGTGATTCCCTGGGGGAGGAATGAAGGGATGACAAAGAAGAAGAAGGAAACTTCACAGGTGTATACAAATGTCCAAACTTACTATTAATCAAGTTGTATGCTTTAAATATGTGCAAATTACTATATGTCAATTATGTTTCATTAAAGCTGTCTTTTTCAAAAACTGATGAGAAAGGAAGGATTTCCTGAGTTTCTCTAAAGCAGTGGGCTGTTCAGTTGGGCCTTTTGCAGTGATGAAACTTGCCTCTGTGCTGTCTGGTGCTGTCAGCCATGGCCACTGATTGTTACTGAGCACTTGCCACGTGGCTAATGAGACTGAGGCACTGGATTTTAAATCTTATTTTCTTTAAATTGAATTTAATTTAAATGGCCACATGTGCCTACTGTATTGGACAGTGCAGTTCTACAGCTCAACCTGCAGAGCTGAAAGGACGAGAGAATTCCACAGCAGCTAAGTTTGAGTCTTAGAAGTTTGTACTCCACAGCCTCAGGCTCTGTGAAATCCTTGAGAGTTCAACTGTCGTAGGTAAGAGAACCTTCGAAGGCACCTTTCTTTAGTAAAAATTTACAGTGAAGAGTAGTTTATGTAGCCCCACGGAGGTTTTAACAGTTGGCAGGTAGATATCAACAAATGGACATTTTACAGGGCACTAATCCTGTGGGATTTGGGATGTGGCCAGTCTCAAAGGGCCTTTAATATCTCTCTTTTTTTCTTCTGAGTAACTTCAAATGAGAGTTGGTGGGGTCTTCTCCTGGCTATCATTTGCGCTCCTCCTTGAAAAAAGAGGCAAAAAATGCAAATGTAGTATTTAACAACGAAAAAGAAAAAACTCTTTAAATATAGAAATTTTTGATGTTCCTGATTGCCTACTGATATCAAGCATTCAAAAGCCACAATATTGTCATACTGCGTGCTGTGGAGAATTAAAGAGCAATTTCTTAACCTTTGGTATTTTTCTGTGTGCACATTATTTTTTCCTTTCCTTGCTGCTAAGCTAAATCCCTTTCTCTTTCTCTGTTTTAGAATGCTAGAAGAGAAGGAAGAGCCAGGCTTTCTCACTGGTTTAAAGATTCCTGCCCCGTGGGCTGCTGGGAAAACTGTGGAAACAGTCCACCCTGTCAGAGACAACTATAAATTTAAAGAAACTGTCCACATTCCGGGAGCTCGCTGCCTGTATCTTAGATTTGATAGCAGGTGCTCGTCGCAATATGACTATGACAAAGTAAGCACAAACTGGTTGTTACTATTCCATCTCCAATAAGCTAATTTCTTAGATGCTTCTTATTTTTCTTTGCTGCTGGTCACCATTCTTGACTTATTTCTGTCTGCAGATAGATCCCTAAGGAGAACCTTCCTAAGATAATGTCTTGAAGGGTAGTGATTGAGGGAGTTAAGGAAACACCACTGCTGTGGTCTAAGTACAGTGTTTTAATGACATGTTGAAAGCATAGGTTATAAGCTTTCAAATGCTTCGATCTGAGTGGAAGGAAATACTCCTTTTCATTCTGTTTACCTCTGTGCTTGAAATTCCTATGGATGTATGATGTCTGTTCATCTAGAAAGGTCTCACTGCCCAATTCTCAGGGCTTCTCCTGTATCTTTTGGGAAAAGATTGCTTTTTAAAAGAGTTGCAGATGTGCCAGGATCTCATTTATATTTGTTTAAATATTCTTTTTTGCCATTACCTCAGGGTCCACGTAGATTTTGAGGAAGAGTAGTTTCCAACCTGGTGGCTCAACAGTTATAAATAAAAGGAAGCATTTTAGTGGTTGAAGCATTTTCTTCTATTTATAATTGTTGAATTATAAACCATCATGTTGAACTTAGGAGGAAAGGCTAATGAAGTCGGGATATGTAATTTATGAAAGAACAACTGGAGAATTATCTAATAGCTTTGTCCAGCCTATTTTTATGTAGCTTGTTAGCTATCTGTTTTTTCTCTCTCTTGTGAACTGTGTGAGGGCAAATGGTCTTGAATCCTATCAGGGGAGGTTTTTAGATTAAAAATAAAGGACTTGTTAACTGTACATACTATACATACACATTACTGAGCAAGTTATAGAATCCTCTTCCTCATGATCTTTTAAGACAATGAAAATTCCCAGATGTCTGGAGGGCTTTGACTAGTCCCCCAAACTTACCTTAGCTGAACTCAAGAAAATATAAGAGATGATCTTTGGTGGATCTCTCAAAAAATATATCTCCTAGCATCAGTCTACCCCACTTCATGCTTCTGGCATTAGCTACCCCTATTTCCTAGGTCCAGGAGACATAGCTATTTAATATGGAAATTGTGGAGGTTGCCGTTTTAGTTTTTGTCATTTTGTTTCTCCTTTAAAAACAGTAATTGCTCTGTCAACATCTGTTTGTGCTAAAAAAAAAAAAAAAAAGTAATTTGCATTTCTGATGTGCACTAACTTATGCCTGCAGTAGACATTAGTTTTAAAAGGTGAAGCACAAAGAGGCTTACTACATGCATAAAAGTACATTTACTTTTCCAGTGGTCCCTGGCTGATGTCAGCAAAATGTCCAAAAGGGTAAGAAATCACAAAATGATAAGTGTCCAGGCCTAAAGATGGAGCTTTTACATCTGAACTTAGGTACAGTGAGAAGCAGCCAGAGTGCATTAGAAGACAGGGTTTGGTATTTGCAGAAGGCAGAGCTTTATTTTTCCTCTGGAAGTATTTGAATGCCAAATGAGCTATAAATGTTTCTCCTACATATTTTGAAAGTTGGTCAATTGGTTATAAAAGAATAAGAAAAGAATTGATACATGAAAACTGACCCAAGAAGAAGTAGCCCCCTTTCTGGCCCAAATTTGTATCATTTTCTTTTTATACCATTAAGCAACATACTAGGAATATATGGCTTATTTTCAATTTGTTGCATTTTTTAAAATCCTTACTCATTGATTCTTTTTGGTGCTTTTATTTTGTTGTTGTGTTAGATATAACCATCTTTTCATCTGTATTTGCTCACTTTATTAATTAATTTTGGGGAGGACTTAAGGGATCAAACTATATCTGTTATTAATGATTTATATGTTAGTAGTTAGGATTAAAATAGCTATTTCAAAAATATTTATGTATAATAATTGAGTATAACTATTGTGAAGTCCCCAAGCCAATTAGAGTGGGGTGATATAAAAAGTATGCTTTTTATTTTAATGACTGTTATTACTCTGTGGCTGCCCTGTAAATACCAATGGCTGATTGTATCCAAATTTTTATTGGTTATACCTAAAAAATCAGGAAATATTAGTTATAATTATACCAGTGCCTGGTTATAAATGTATTTTTAAACAAATTTTTTTGCAGCCTTTTTATTTGTAGATGTTGTTTTTGTTTTTCTTTTACAGTCTAACAGTATATTTTCTGTTTTGAAGTTGGTGATATACGCGGGGCCTAACACAAACAGTAGGAAGGTTGCTGAGTATGGAGGCAATACACTGGGATATGGCAGCCGTAGTGTCTTAGGAACTGGTTGGCCGAAAGACTTGGTGAAGGTATGGTATCCAGTCATAATCGCTTCCTAGAAAAGAAAAATGATTTTACAATCCTCCTGGGCCCAAGAAAAAATTTGCCATGGGGGCTTTTGGTGAGGTGGGGCCACCTTGCTAATCTTGTCAACTCAACTCCTCCTATTTGGAATGACCCTCCTTTCGCTTGTAGGGCATCAGACCCCTACCAGACCAGACCAGACTCCAGAGCTGGTCTCCCTTGCACAGGTTACTCCGTGGACAGAGGTTATCACAGCATTTTCTTCCCTGTCCATTGAAAGGGCTGCTGGTTCGTCCAGCTTACTTCTTCTCTAGACTCCCTTTTGACAGGTAGCCTAGGGCCACAGAGCCATTGCAGTTTTAAAGTGATGAGTTAATGTGTTCAGATGAATTTGGGCCTTCGAAGCAAAAAAAATGATCCATTTCCAAACTCATGAGATTAGGGCCATGTTTTGTAACCTGGGCCCTCAATCTACTTACTCTGTGTCTGCCTAGAATATGAATAAGACCTGAAATGACCACCGAAACCCAAAAATATCTCCAGAGTCTGTTCCCAGAGCCTTTATTTCACGTCCATTATGTATCCTCTTTAATTCAGCCATAGGTAGCAAGTTAAGGGGTGTAGTCTGGAGTACACTCAAATCCGGGTCAGCACAATACTTTGTAAATGTCCTCTGATTTGCTGCCTTTTGTTTTTTACTCGTGGAGTCGGTTCTGTAATGCACAGCAAGGTCGTGCAGCACTCGGTCAGCCTTCTTCAAGAGTACTGTTGCTTGCCTGCCTTGTTGACACGAGTGAGGTGGGGAAGAGCCTGGGGGAGGGCAGAAAGAATAAAAGCTGAGGAATTTGTTAGAAGTTGCACTCAAAATTTGATCAATCTTTATTTTGATCCTGCTTGTGGACAATTGTGGCCCATTTCAGAGATGCCTTGTCCCAAAGGCTACCTGATCAAAAGAGACCCCTTTGGTCAAGAGAGACCCCTAAAAGGCTCATATGTAAATGAGGGGATGGAATTTGAATCAAAAAGCCAGTGGGGAGGCCGGGCGCAGTGGCTCACGCCTGTAATCCTAGCACTCTGGGAGGCCACGGCGGGTGGATCACTCAAGGTCAGGAGTTCGAGACCAGCCTGAGTAAGAGCAAGACCCCGTCTCTACTAAAAATAGAAAGAAATTAATTGGACAACTAAAAATATATAGAAAAAATTAGTCAGGCATGGTGGCGCATG